CCTGGACCCAGTGGCTTAAAACTCACGCCAGGTGCGTGTGTGTGCGTGCCCAAGATCCTGAGAGGAGAATGGAGGAGAAGGGATTGTGGCATGGCCATCCCCCCTGGGGGGTGATTTCTCTCTTTCTATCTCTCTGTCTCTCTGTCTTTCTGGCAAGCGCACATGCCCTACAGCAAAAACCTCTCTCCCCCCCCAAAAATTATACCAGTTTTCATAATTTTTTTTAACATTTTAAGTCTAATATCTATTTCTCTCATTTCACAAATAATTAAATCATTGGGAAAATCATGATTTGTTTTAATGTTTTCTATGTAAAAGTGACTCATGAATTTCCTGACAACCCAGTATTATTTAGTAATTTAATTCCACTTTATTTTTATTCCACCTTCCCCACTGATGATATTTTAACTTTTTCCCACCACACTCTTGTTTTTTAGATACAGCTGCATGCTTATCTGTTTTATTTTAATTTAGGCTCTTAAAAATTGTTATTTCGGGGGCCAGTAGGAGGCATGGGGGCTAAGTACTGGATCCCACATGGTCAGCTTTGGAAATGAGTCTTGGATCACAGCTTGAGAATCATGCCAGGTGTGTGTGCATACTTTCCCGAAATCCAGAGAGGAAAGTGGACGATGAGGAATGTGGCATAACCATCCCCCTGAGGGGTGATTTCTCACTTTGTCACGTATTTCTGTCTCTCCCTGGCAAGCACTGTGCCCTATAGTAAAAACTGAGAAAAACATTATTGTTTGCTTTTGCTTATCATTGATTCTTGAACCCTTCAGTTTGGGTTCCATTTCTTCCTCCGGAAGTACAGCTTTTAGTAGTTTTCAGCAAGAATTCTCATATGTTGAACATATGATAGACCTCCTCATTATGCTCTGTGATTCTGTTTTTTTCTCTAGAGAGAATTTTTGCTATAGGGTGCATGTGTTTGCTGGAGAGATGGAGAGACAGAGAGACAGCAAAAAATCATTCACCAGGAGGGATGGCCATGCCTCAGTCCCTTCCCCTCCATTTTCCTCTTGGTATTTTGGATATACATGCACACACGAATGGCCTGAGTTTTAAGCTGCAGTGTTTGGGGCTTGAACCGCAGTCAACTACATGGGAGTCCAGCTACATAACCATTATGCCATCTGCTGGTCCCTGCCCTGTGATTCTTAAATCCATTATGTAATTACATCCTTTTATCTCTTGAACTTTAGTCTAAAGTTTCTTTTCCTTTTTGAAGAAGTTTTTTTGTTGTTGCTGTTTGTTTATTTATTGATTGATTGATTGCTCGTTTGCTTGCTATATGGCATGTGCACTTGCCATAAAGACAGAGAGACAGAAAGTGAGAAATCATCCCCTGGGGGCATGGCCAGGCTGCAATCCCTTCTCCTCCATTCTCCTCTTGGGATCTTGGGCACGCACGCACACATGCCTGGTGTGAGTTTAAGCCACCAAGTCTGAGACTCGAACCGCAATCAGCTACATGGGAGTCCAGTGACATAGCCATTATGCCAACTGCTGGTCCCCAAAGTTTCTAAGACCTATCTTCGAGTTACCCATTCTACACTTTATTCACCTAAACCTTGCTATTTTAGCCACCCCTTGAGTTTTTTTTTTAATTAATTATTTATTTTTTAAGCCCAGCAGTTG